TAGTGTCAACAATTAGCAGGGCAAGCGTCTCATTTTCGGTTTGGAGGGATCGTGATACGCCTGAGCAAAGTCAGCGAACCTGCAAGTCAAGGACCCTGTAGGACCCAGATGAAGAAAGTACCGTACCAGCCCCGGACTGCGTGTATCCACGAGTGGCCAAGGAAATTCTATTTAAGGCTCAATGGCGGTCTCCGGGTCCCAAAGTTTGTTCTCCTGTCGTGCCTATGCCACCAAAAACTGTCGATTTCAAGCTAAAGAGCACCAACATCAACGTCAACCTACCCGGACACGACAACAAAATGTCTGACAAATACCCTTGCAAGTACCATAACAATCCAAATGGCGCGTGCTTTCCCGGGATAGAATGGGTTGGTGGTGCGGATGCAGCTTGTGATAAATGCCTGGTGCGTTACACTGCGACATGCTGTGTAGACAGAGTTGTAGGCTAAAACGATGAATAGGCGGCAGGGCTTCCCAGAGGATTGAATCAGTGCAGCATTTGGCAACCCATGTCGACGAGCCTCCGCGAACGAAGCAGAGATAATGGTGCGATATACCAGGAGGTACACGGCATACTTGAGCCACACAGGCAACACAGATGGTGAACGTACGACGAGCTGTCGCAGAGCAGTCTGGAATCTTTGAGGTACAAAGTCTGCGAGAAAGTAGGTTCCGAGGCATTGAGCTTCGGCTGTAGCATGTTCAGCATCATAGCACATCTTTTCGAATCCATCCCTTTTACTGCTTCCAAGTACTCAACCTCAATCATGCGGATTTGATAATGCCGCGTCGTAACACTCAATGGAGTGCAGCACAATTGAGAAGGTCGACTGATGTAGAGATGAGGACTTTGAGAGGCAATGATGGCCAGTATCCTCAATATCAGGGATACCGGGCTCTTCAGCGTCGGGAGCCTTCGCTCGGAAGAGGGCTATTTTCGCATTCACTGGCGAAGCTTAGCTCGGGATCCGTTGGCATATCGCGGCCAGTGTCGACCGGCAACTGCGCCAGATTGAGGGGACTTCAAGAACTCGGGCTGGCCAGTGGATCGCGACCAGGATCACTCGATAAGGAAAATCTTCTCACAAGCTCGATGTTGTTGATGCGCCTTGCCATTGGCTGGCTTGAGATTCAAGGCGCCGGACATTCTGATGCAACCG